ACTCATGTCATTAATAAAATACATTAAAATTTGATCTATTGAGATGAATAACTTGACTAGGTGTGAATTTTATAAGAAATTCTGAGTATTGAGTTGAATCAATGCAGATTAAGTCACCTGACCTCTAGATCAGTGCTGATCCATTCTGATTGTAGATACTCTGATCAGAGCATGTGGGGGAGGGTAAAATACTGCTATTTATGGTGGATTGTGGTCTTATTCAACTGGATTCCGCTGGATTCCACAGGACTCTGGTGGATTCCACTGGATTCTGGTCCCATTCCACCAGAATCCGCAGGAATGACCGGAGTCCGACAGGAATAGGTAGGGCACAGTAAAGTACTGACTAAATGTATCACAGATCCTTCAACTAAGCAACATTGCTAACATCAACATTGATGAAGACATGGATGCTGATCCCCGTGGTATGTGTCTAGCTACTTCTCTTTTTTTAAAGTGGACTAACTCAAATGTTAGAACCAGATGTTGAAATCCCTAGTCTACCACATACTCCCCAACGCAAGGGGAAAGCAAAACAAATGAGTTCACCACAAACACCTGAACTTCAAGGGGCATCTTGTGTTATAGGTATGGTGATATTTATTTGACATTATATTTAAGTGTTTTAATTATAAGCTTAGGGGGTGTTTTATGTGGTCATGCACATGGGAATAAGGCCAATATGGCTGATCTCATTGATGCAGACAAGGATGCCAATGACTCTCATGAAATTTTGGGGAAGGTTTTACTGTACCTTTCAAATGACAACCCAGCCACAATCAACCCAGCAGAAACTCAGTCAACCACATCTTGTCTCATTCCAATGGCTAGTAATATAAAGCCCACTCTCGAGAAGGTGGCCACAAAATATTCACCAATCAAATGTATGTATTTGATTTTCTCTTATTCAGCTTAAAAATTCAATGAATATTCGAGGTCTTTATTGTCCCCCACTGATTCCTGCAGGATTCCTGAGGATTCTTGCACAGTCCCAGGACTGAGTATTGGCTGATGTACCAGCCAATTTTTTCGGTCCTGTGGGGGTCCATTCCTGAGGACTGAAGACAGTCCTGAGGATTTTCAGACAGGACTAGTCCCAGGATTGATGCATGTGATGAGTCACATGACCCACAAACATGTGCTTGGAATGCATCACGTGATGTGATGCATCCCGTGCACATGTTTGTTGATGATGGTTCTCATCACATCACCTCTCTCTTTCATCACCACCCACCACCACTTGCCCATGACAACAACAACAACGGCCACAACAGACAACAACAACAACAACAACATCAACAACAACAACAACAATGGTGGTGGTGCCCAACAAATGGCACCACCACCAAACGGCTGACGTGGCACACCCATCTGGGTGTGCCGCGTCGACAGTGATTTTCTCGACGACAAACACCCATGACCCCATGACGAGGGACGACAACCCCACCACCACCACACACCACCATGACAGCCCACCCACCAACGCCAACTGCCACAGTGAAGAACA